GCAGTGTAGCCTTGGGATTCTATGTGCAGTGTACAACCTCAGATAAGGTCATCAAGCCAACCAAAGAAGTCAACACATACTGAGAAGAAATGAGATAGCCGACAAACATTTTTTTCCTCCAAGAATTACAACTGGAAGTCCGGGTGCATCCACACGCTTGTATCAAATGAATCCTTAACATTTGCCTAGCTGCTTACTGTGAGCTTTGTGATAGAAGCATATTTCCAAGAATTAAGACAGGTATTTATTTATTTGTTTCTAGAAAACAAGAATAAGCAGAGAGCAGAAAAGGACTTCACTTCACGCACGGACAGATTTTTTGTGTGTGTGTTTTTTGTTTGTTTGTTTTTGTTAAAGCAAGGAAAGAATACAGAACAGAAGCTGATAGAAGAAGAGATGCTGACTAAACAAACCGCTCAATCTGAACTGACTTCATTGCCAGAAGTTAGAGAGAAGTACAAACAGAACCAAAAATGGTGCCAAAAATGTGCCCTCTGGGGAAGCAGAAAATCCACTCCTGTTCTCAGTTCTGCTGCTGTAAATCCACAGTAACTCCAGGTATGTGACATGAGCCACTCTGGATGTACAACAGTGTAACGTGGGCACATGTGGCTTGTGTTGCCCTGACACATGGGCACGTTACAGCCATGTGTGCATTCAGAAGGCAAGGTTCTTACTTCGCTTGCACAGAAAAAATAAAAGATCAAGAAGAGTGACTACCTTCTACATAACCTAGAAAAGCAGCACGCTTCTAACAGCAGAGACAGGTCTTCTCCAGAAGAGTGAAGCAAATTTGTCAGACTTTTTAATGACTTAATGATATACATATTAATTCTTTGTTTGAGAAACCAAATATTTCTATTTTAACTGCTATAAACAACTGACAGCCATGCACAGAGCTATTTCACTAACAAGATCAGTATGGGAGACTGCAAAAAGTAATCTGCTTACAGGGCTCATAATTCCTATAGGAAAGTAACATTCATAAGTGTTCTAGATTGTGCGCCACAGAGATGTTATAAGCACAACCATCTATCGAGTTAGATTTAATAAAAAATTTAGATGTTCATTATGAAGCCTACATATGACAGACAGCAATATATTGATGCTGGCAACGAAAAGGCAGTTATTAAAACCTGTGCAATGTAGTCTTCTCCTCCAAACAGACTAAAAACCCCAGCAATAAAAAAGCAAGAACTTTGGGCACTGTGTACACAGCAACACTTAAGTGCTTTTCCCACCTTTTCTTCCCAAACTCCCTCAGCCAGATTACTCTGCAGTCCTAGCAACCCATTTATATTCAGCTGGCTGTCCACCATCACGATCTGTACCACATTCTGCCCTCATGGATGACCTTAAACTGCAACCCTGGAAAATACCTTGCTCACCACCCCAAAGTGTCACTTGCTATAATTAGCATTCTGGGAGCTAACAATACAGTCATTAAGGCACTGAGAAAGACACATGTACTGCCTTAGTTCCTAGTATATATCAAGTGATCAGTCAGATGAAGCAATGAAGTCTTTATTCAGATTGTCCACTCTACTGCCTTGACCCATAATCTGTCTCTACAGAGTTTTCCTTAGAGAGATGGATAATGACACTTTTTCATGTTACCTTCCTTACTACGAAACACAGTGCTTCCAAATCTCCCTTTCTATTCCCAGGACAGCCGGCGATGAGAAAAATCTGATTTTGAATAGAACAACAGTCTCAAAATCAGGCTGTCATTCAGCAGCAACAACTTTTGCTGAGCACACACAACTTCACAGCAAGGACACAGCCTACTGCAACTTCCCCCTCACCAAGGACATGGAATAGCATGAGGATGTTTCATCTCCATTCTAAAATTTTAATATTTTAATCTATTAAATCTTACCACCATCAACTTGTTCCAATTTGGATGGCCAGCTAACTGAATTAATACATTGAAGAAATACTAGATCCGCTAGTGCAGAGCTTTACGTAAAACTACCACATAACATGAATTAAAGAGCTTGGTGCTAAAGTGATGCTGTGAACCGTTTAACAGCATCGAATTTCATTCACGTAAATTCTCTCTCATCAAAACAAAGCTAACAGAATGCTGCCTACTACCTATTTTCTGATGAATATATCAAAATTCATTAAGGTTTCACGTATAGTGCAAAGCAGAAGAGCAAATACTCCTTCTAATGATAATATTTATTTTCAGGATCATTTTGTGTACATAAAATAGTCTATTCCAACAAATAGATTTCCTCTAGTTAAAACTGAGAAAACAAAAAATCAAGAGCAGATTAAAGAAATGTATTTTATTTGTGTAAACTAAACTTTTAGCTAGTGAGCAAATCAAAGCCATTAAGACCTCGGGAGACATCTGATGACTACGACCTCTACACAGCACAGAATGGATTCAGCGGACATGTTTGTCCTTTCCCATACCAAATTGATATTGTATCTGTCTCCAGCTATACAAAAAGGGACGTTTAGCTTCAGATGGCAGAGCATTAAGAGCATTTCAATGTGTGGGGTTTTGAGGTTTTCTTCTGAGGGCTTTTTAAAAAAATGTGCTTCTCTTATGGGCTATGGATCTACAGGTTTTTGGTGGACTAATTAGTAACCGGAATCCAGAGCCAGTAACATTCATTTGGCAAAATACTTACATATTCCCTAAAGGGAAAATCTCAGGCAAAACATGCAAAATTGGCAGTGCAACTAGCAG